CGTCGAAAATTGCGATAAAATCGCTGAATTGGTCGAAAGAGACCGGCATAGTAGCAGCCGTAGCATCGGTCAAGAGCTGGGCATGAGTCATCAAAAAAAAATCTTATGAACAATTGAAAATTCAATAAAAATACTGCAAAAATATCGCAAGACTTTTTTGACAACCTAATATTATAGGAATTCCTCCCGACAGTGAATAAAATCGAATGGTTACCCCGCTCACTCCCCATATAACGGTACTGTTAAAAACTACAAAAACCGCGACAAATCAATAACTAGATCACAGCTATGAAATTTTACTGCGAGATGATAGGAGAGTGCTAAAATGTAGCCGAGGTCCAAATTGGATGATGGATGTGGCACCGCCCACTTATAGGGGGCCCCCGAGACTCGCCTAATCGATTTAAACCAAATTTGGTATGTTACATTTATCCTACCTTTTTATGTTATAGCCTTGACAGACGGAAGCGTTAATCCGAATTAACTGCGCATTTAATCAAACCTAAATGTGTGAGTAACAGATGGCAGCTATGCGAGTTTGAAACTCTCGTAATCGGCTGATTGTCATTTTTATAATATTTTCAATGAAAATGGATGGAAGCTAAACATTGCGGTTGTTAGCCGACAAATTTTTACAAAACCATTTGTATTACAAAAACATATTAACACGTTATTTTCAAAACTGCATCATAACACAAAACTTCTAGTTTTATTATTGAAAATTTTAAAAACAGCTGTCAGTGTTACCAGTGGAAATGCAGCTAACTCTCTAAAATTTTTAGGATTAAACGAGAGTTAGCAACGGTGTTATCTGCACTAATTTCTGAATTAATCCGGATTAATGCAGTTTGTCAATGCTATTACGGTGCGAAGATTAGCCAAATTGGACTACAGCCACGCCGCGATCCCATGTAACATAATTTTAAAATCCATTTGATTCTTTCACTTTCCAGTACACAAATCAAAAAGCAATTAACAGTTATTACGAGGTAAAACTTACCTCGAATGATACGTTTAG